GGCAAGCCCCGACTTCTTTTCACAGGCCTGAGCAGTGCGTGGGCAGGGCTATCTCTCACTGAGAGAGGTGGTGTCCCATCAGCTGTCGGAGGCTGTAGCTCTGGCCCCCGTGGGAGAACTGACACTACTGAATGATATGGCAAGTCAGGTAGAGGCGGCAGTCCCAGGCATGGGCTAAAAAGGCTGGGGCTAGTGTAGAGTGAGGGGCAGGGCATGTGAGGTAGCTCTCCCTTTCCCTACCTTTTCTGGTTATTTCCAAAATCTACAGGGGCTTCGTTGTTTCTCTAGCCCCAGAGAGCTCTGTTCTTCCATCTGCTTGACCAAGACTCAGGTAAACAACCTTCCCCACTACCGCTCTGCTTCATCCTGTTACCTTCTGACCTCTGTCCACCCACAGCCACAGAAGACATTGGCTTCCAGACACTTGTCTACTTGCTGGCTCCTACTTTGCCTGCCTCTTCCCAGTAGAAAAGCAGAGCCCGGGCCCCCCCCACCCAGTACCTTCGCCACTAGTTCCTTCACCTCCTGACTCTCACAACACCATCTACCTTCCATTTGATCACCACTCCCTTGTCCCTGCCTAAAAATGCAGGTCCATCCCCCTTCCCAGCCAGAATTGCCTACTGCCTAGAAGTGCCATTCCTAGAACCCTGTAGTTTGACCCCGCAGGCTCTTCCACTCTTTCAGTCCACAGGTATTTGTTGAGGCCTGCTCCGTGCCATGCTCTGTGTTTTAGGTACCCCATGATTCTCTGCTTTCTATCCGTTTGCCCCCCTCCCCTGTCTTCACTTCCTTCCCTGTTCATTCAGTCTCTTCCATCCTTTACCCGGTAGCACAGTAACTTTGCACCAAGGTATCATCCTCTCCCAGACCTGGGCTAATGAACACCATAGACGAAATTGAAATAACTAATTATGATAGAAATCTGAAGAGTTAATGTGCATTGAACATTTACTACGGGCTAGGCATTGTGGGCAGTAATCACCAAGCAGGGGCTAACTCATTTCATTCAGTAGCCTTCTTTCACTCATGCATGATTTTGAGATGAAGAAAACGGAGTCACAGAGGTTATGTAACTTGCTCAAGGTCACATAGCTAGGAGTTAGGATCTCATGTAACCGAATAGGAATGCCGTACATTCCTGCGGAGGCACCCCAGCCAGGCCTTTATCAGCTTGCACATTCTGTGCAGTAACTATTTCAAATTGTGTCCAATATAAGCAAGCTTCGTCGAACCTCCCCCACTACCTCTCTGCCTCTCCTTTGGGGACTTTGCTGTCGACCTCCTAGAGCAGGCAGAGCTCTTCAGATAAAACATCTTTTAACTTCCCATAACCACAAACTCCAGAGCACCAATCCATCCTTCCCTCTTGTCTTGCTTGGTTCCTCCTACCAGCCAAGGCTAACTCATCTCTAGGGGCTCTGGATCCTGTCCCCCACACCTATCCAGGGCCTCCCACCCATCAGTTATCTCGCTTCCTGTATCTTCAACTTGATTGATTTTTCCCCCTTGGCACATAAACAAGCTCACATCCTTCCATCTTCTAAAAACAAACCTAAGCCCTGGCTGTTGTGTCTCAGAGGATTGAGTTCCAGCTTCGAACCCAGGGGTCACTGGTTCGATTCCCAGTCAGGGCATACTCCTGGGTTGTGGACTGGGTCCCCAGTACGGTGTGTGCAAGAGGCAACCACACATTGATGTTTCTCTCCCGTTCTTTCTCTTTCCCTTCCCCTCTCTCAAAATAAATAAATAAATAAAATCTTTTAATAAAGAAATAAAAACAAACCCAAACCCCAGGGCCAGGGCTACCTCTCACTACCATCTCTTTGTAGTCAAACTTCTGGAACAAGGAGGCTACTTATAGTCTCTTTTTTCTCACAGACCATTCTCTTGACCCGCCTACTGCCATCTGATGGACACCCTCAGCCACCCTCCTACTAGCCTTGGCCACATCCCCAGTGATTTCCCAGATCCATGTCCAGTGGAAACTTTTCTAGCTTGTTGGACTTCTGGGCAACATCTTTCATATATGCTCTTGGTAAAGCCGTCTTTCAGAAAACCCCATGTCTTCCACAGCTTTTGGTGGGGGCAGCTCCCCTGGCTCTAGTCTCGCTTTGCCAATCCCTCACTCTTATGCTTTTGTGGGCACCAGGTGTCATCAGCAATGAATCAATTCTATCTGTCAAATATATCCAGAATTCAACTGCTTATCACCACCTCCACTGCCTGCACCCTGGTCTGTGCTACCATCATCTGTTACCTGGATAACTATAGGAGCTTCCTTCCTGGTCTCACTTCTTCCTCCCTGACTGCTACAGCCCCCTCCAGGGATGTCCAACCTGCCACCTGTAGGCCGCATGTGGCCCAGGGTGGCTGTGAATGCAGCCTAGCACAAAATCATGAATTTACTTAAAACCTTTTTTGCTCCTCAGTGTTTGTTAGTGTTTGTGTATTTCATGTGTGGCCCAAGACAACTCTTCTTCCAGTGTGTCTCAGAGACACCGAAAGGTTGGACACCCCTGCGACATTTCACTAACAGCATGCCAGTTCTCAGCTCAAAATCCTGCAAATCTAAAGTCTTTAAAATTACTTACAAAGCCACACACCATCTGCCTCCCATGTCCTTTCTGACCTCCCTCTCCTACCACTTTCCCTCACGCTCATCCTGCCCGCCCTCCTACGTCCTATCACACGTACACAATTTTCTGAGACTGAAAACTTTCAGGACCAAGAAGACAGCCATCCAGTTGGGAGACCCCGTTAGTATGGCAAAGACCACTTTCATTTCCCCCAAAGCCCTATTGCTTTTGGGCCCAACCCAATGCCCAGTATCTGTTAGTCCAAAAGCTGACTGGTGTGACCGACTATTTGGCAGCTGAGCAGAGAACACAGAGGACTACTAGCTCCTGTGACAAGAGTGTGCAACAGCGCCCCCTCACCTCAGGGTTATTTCAGGCCCACCACTTGACTACTTGCCCACCTGCTCTCTTCCTGGCACTGTCAGGCACCTGTGTTTCCCTGGGCTCCAGATTTGGAAACCATCTTCCCCAAGTTGTAATGTTGGGTCTACTTCAGTGAATCAACTCTCCTGGGGGGGATGTGAATAGGTGGGAAGCAACCAGAGGCACGAGGCAGTGAGGAGGCCTACAGAGCAGGCACTGGAAAAAAAGACACCTCCAAACCAGGTGCAACAATTGAGAATCAGGACTTTGCAAAGCAAGAAACCACAGCTCCAGGGAAATAGTATAGCCCAGCCAATCAAATGGGGGAAACTGAGGCAAGGAAGGAGAATGTTCTTGCCCAACAAAGTCCTACAATGAGCTAGCCATCAGCAGCTCCTTTCTCCCTGCCATTTACGTAGAATAGAACAAGGACTAGAACAGGAGGTCTGCCATTCAAATTGCTGATTTTTGGAGATGTATAGAATGTCATGGAAGGTCATGGAACATCATGGATGTTATAGGAAGAATTGAGTTGAACTGTCAGAGCTGGAAGAGATCAAGGAGCTTGACCAGTCTTACCCCCTCCTTGTGGAGACGGAGTGAGGGACTGGCACAGGGAGGAAAATGAACTGGTCAAGGTCATACTTCAAGTCCAAGGCAGAACTGGGGCCAGATCCCAGACCTAGCAGCCATGTCAGTTCCTGTGCTCCCTCCATGCAAAGACAGCAGTCTTCCTCTTGCCAGTTTAGCAGCTGGATCTTTTCAAATCAGAAAGGACCTAGTGCAGCAGGGAATACTCCTCCTGCAACCAAAAAATAGCAGGCATTGTGCTCTAATCTCCCCTGCACCGCCCCCCCTCCCCCGCATCTCCCCTCAATCTTTGTTTTTAGACATTCACAGAGTTTTATGGCTGGGCTTTCTGGATATTCTTGAACTAGTTAGTGGTAGAACTAGATTCTTTGTTGCCTCAGCTCACCTGGCCCTGGCAGCCACGAATGCCACTTAATGCCCTCAGCCTAGTTAGAGACCCAAGTTCAGGCTGCCCCTGCCCCCATCCCAGACACTGCAGCTGGCAAGACTAATGCAGGCCTCCTGAGTCCGCCCTCAGCCTTGAAACCTCCAGTCTGGCCTCAGACAAGATATTTTTTCTCAGTATCTACTTTTCACAAAGCCTGGCTCACCATTAAAAGTTTGAGGGGGCCTCTGTAGACTTTCGGAATCCGTCGAATTCCGTGAAAGCTGGGAAATTTGGATGTGGGTCAAACTACGGAAACAAGTCTCTCCAGAGAAGAAAAGTGAAAGCCCTGGACCGGGAGCCCCGGGTTTGGAATTCCAAATCTGCCCCCTGTCGCTGGCAGGCTGGGTGACCTTGGGGATGCACCTCCCCTTCTCTAGGCAGCAGCAGACCCCTTGGTAACGGGTGGCGGTTGGCCTAGATGGTCCCTAAAGGCCCTGGTGTGCCCAAGAGACGGACGAAGCTGGGGCGCGAGCGCTGCAATTGGGCTTTCCTGGCAGGTGACTCCTTCCTCTGAGAGGCCTGGGGGAGCGCGCTGCGGGGCCTTTCCTACGCCTAAGACCGGGCCCGGCGAGGTTCCAAAGGGCTCTGCAGTCACCCCCGCTCCCCAACCACTCCGCCCCGCCTCTCTCCGCCTGTCTGGCGCTTTGGAATAAACTGCCAGGTGGCGGCCAGGGCGCCACAGCGCGATTGCAAGGCGACCACGGAAATGGGACGAATGCAAAACCGAAACCAGGGCTCCTGCGAGCCCCACCGGGGCGGGTCTGGCCCCGAAAGCTCGCAGAGTCCCCATACAGCCGCCCGCCCGGCTTGGGGGCGGGAGTAGGGAGTTCCTGCGAGGGGTTCGGCACCCTCTCCGCCCCCTGCCAACACCACTCTCAGGCTTATTTGCATTTAAAGAGATACACCCGGAGGAAAACAGAGGGCGGTTCGGGCACGCCTTCCCGCCGTGACGATTGGGCCACACGCCTGCCAATCAGGGCGCCGACGCCCCACCCTGTGGTTGTGGAGTTTTGAGGGGGGGGTTGCGGGGGTATGGGGGAGCTGCCCAGAGCCTGGGGAAGGGGAGCCAGTGCAGGAGGTGACTGGAGCCGCGGCGGCGGCGGAGGCAGCGGTGGCGGTTCCCTCAGCCACGGCAGCCGAGGCTCCAGCCTCGGCCAGGGCGGCGCAGCAGACAATAACTGGGCTGGAAAACGAACCGGGCCGGGTAAGCTTTGGGGGCAGCCTGGAGGCTCCGCCTGCCCGCGGTCCGGTGCAGCCCCGCGTGTTCAGCTCTGGCCGTCTGGAGAGGAGCTCTAGGGCTGGGCCGGTCGGGGTCCAGGCCGCTCTCCGCTCCCCTTTGGAACCTGCTTCGAGGACTGTCCGGTGAGGGCCAGAGCAGAGTCCTCTGGTCGCGGGCCACCGAGGCTGGGGGGTGGGGGAAGAGGGCGGGCAGGCGGGCGGGCGGGCTACCCTGGGCCATGCCTCCGGGCTCTCGGGGAGGCGGGGATGAGGCCCGCACGTGCTGCTGCGCGGTCCCAAGAGGGGAGCCGCCAGCCAGCACCCCCAGCGGTGCATTTGTAGGCCGGGAGCTCTGCAGCTTTGTTGTAGCACATTAGCTGGAACAGCTATGTTACGCGGGTATCGCTCACCCAGCGGCCCGGCAGCTGCCCCTCCCCTCCCCTCCCCTCCTCTGCGCATCTCCTGCCTCTCTCCTCTGCGGACGAAGCCAACGCAGTGGCCTAGGTCCGAGGGATTGGGGTATCTATCTACACTGTTTGCCCCCTTCCAGGGGGAGCACACTTGGGCCTGTAAGCTGCCCACTTCCCTTCAGAACCTCGGCCCTGCGGCTCCAACCAGCCGCGCCCCCTATTCCTGGGCCTCCCGGCTCATCTGGCTCCCGCCCCCGCGGACTGGCAGGGGTGTCTCTCTTGCTGGACCTTGGGCTTACAGCTGCAGCTCCAGCTAGTCTTTGGGTTTGAACTGCAAGGCCGCTTTCCCCCCCCCCCCACCCACCCTCGCCGCGCCTCTCCCCTGGTAGTGCACTGGCCGCGTTTTTCTCTCCAGCCTCCCGTTTAAAAATAGTGATAAGCACGACGCTAGGAGAGGGTTTCTGTGTCAGAAGCCGAGGGAGCAATTACTGTAGTAGGGGAAGCACCGTCTGAGTATTGTGAGAGAGCTAGAGAAGCAGACAAACCCTCCAAGTTCGCAGTTACTTAAAATACCCAGCCCGCCGGGCCGCTGTCATTGTCTGCTGCAGACATTTCTGACACTGGTGACCGCCCGACTTTGACTAGCCTCCCTGGCTGTGAGGGACTGTGCCCACCAGCCACGCCACAGCCCAGGCGCCCGGTAGGCACCTGGACTGGCCCCGCACAGTCGGCCTCCTTTTTGGCCAGGCTCTTCTTGGCCTGGGCCTCGAGGTCAAAGCCAGCTTTGTCCCGCACACAAATACCTCCCTCTGCGGCTCTGCCCTCCTGCTACCTCCGCGTGGGTATGGGCAGGGTGAAGGGCACTGCGTCGTAGGAATGCCCACCCCACACCTGGGGATTCCAGCAGAGCCCCCTCCCCCAGTGCAGCTCCCCTCATTCGGCCCCGCCCACCGCTCAGTTGCTGCACGGTGGTGTGCCTCTGGCAATGGACTCTAGGCCTTTCTGAGGATCAGGACAGAGGGAGTAACCCAGGAGCTTGGCAGGCCCTTCATGGACCTTTGACCAACCTCTGAGGGTGGAGAACCATTTGAGAGGAGACAGTGAGACCCAGTAAATCCCTCACTTGCCAGGAAGGCTAGCAGGGGACTTTTGTGACACCGGCAAGTACTGCAGGTCTCATACTACACTCACTGCCTCCCACCTTGACCCGTGCCAACGCAAACCCCCTAACTTGGCAGCTGGGCATCTCCAGCCCAGGGCTGGACCAGCCCTCTGCCCTGCCTCAGACCAACCGCCACCTAACATACCTACCCTATGTAACTCCCTTCCCCACACCCAAACCCACTCACCCTACATGTCCAGGTTCTCTTTCCTCTCTGGCCCCCTGCCCTGGGCTCTTCTCAATGCCTTTCCTGCCTGTCTCTTGCAACCCCTGATGACCTCTTGTTTCTCAGAACTCTTCCAGGCTGACCGAGTCCCTTGGGTATTTGGGGGCTTATAGTATAATAGGAGGCCAACTGTACTTAAGTTTCCCTGCCACATTGTCTCCCTGACATCACGGATGTCTGAGTTCTCTCAGAGCCCCTCAGAAGGGTAAACAAACCCTGGAACTCAGGCCCAACCCCCTCAAAGCAATGCATAGCAGTTAAGGAATGCTGCAGAAGGGCTGGCTTTCTTTGCAGAGCTTTCAAAAAGACCTTTACCTCTCCAACTTGCACTTGTCCGGATCCATGCGAAAGTGATTAGAGAAATGGTCCTCAAGGCCCCAGGTATTTATGGACAATGTCTAATGAGGATGGAGGGAGCGGGGTGGGTTGAAACTAGGAGAAAAAAAAATCAATCACGGTATCTCCCTTCAAAAGCAAGTTCAGTACCTGAACTGCCCAGGCCCCAGAATACACACACCTTTGGTTGCTGATTTGTGAGCCTAGAGGCAAACCAGAGAAATGGCAGATTTCTCTCTGCCAGGGGGGCTCGTCCTGGGAAGCTTTCAGAAAGTAGAGGGGTTTGGTAGGCAAAGAAAGGGCGAAGGTGGAAGCGAAATTAGGAATGGGAGGGAGTGGCAGGCAAGCTGGTTGAGTGAGGTGAATATTTTCTGGTTGAGACTGTGTGGCTCTGAGGTGGTGGGTGCCCAGTGGAGGGGGCCCCCGAATGCCAGGCTGTGGGATGCGGGTACGATCATAGGGAAGGGGCCTTCGAAGAATGGGAATGAGGAGGTTTTGATTTGTGTGCGTGCATGTGCATAAATACACCACAAGAACTTGGCGTTGTAAGCAAGGGTGTCAGAATGGAGTCTTAGGAGAGGGTTAGAAGCACGCTGTAAGTCCGGCTGGTAAGAAGCCACCTTTGGGCCTGGGAGTAGAACCGGGGTGTAGGCTATCTCTAGGGGGAAGCTGTACCATGTCAGCCTCCCTTCTGCCTTTGTCGGGGTTGGGGAGGGGGGAGGGAGAACGTGGAGCCTGCATACCGACGTGGTGCAAGCTACCTGCCCTCCAGGCCTCTGCTGATCCCCTTCCTCCCAGCTGCACAGACCTGCACGGAGCACCAGTTTGGACTTCCGTGCTTAGGGACAGGAATCCTGAGCCCTGGAAAGCAACAGGGACTTGCTTAAGGTCGCGCAGCATTTAGGAATAGGGGGACAGGCTGCTGCCTCCTGTGCAGTGGCTTTTTCCACTGTATCCCACTGGGTCCAATGGCCTTCATTGGACATGCATCTCATTAACCAACCCTTCATCTCACCTCACCCATTCCTCAAGAGTAAAGGGGTGCTGGGTGAATTTGTGCCCCCTGCAATCCGGGAGCCCCTCCTCCCCTAATATGACTCTTTTGTGCTTCTTGATCTTGGTCTGCAGCCTGTCAGGGGCTGCAAGTTTGAGGAGGAAGGGAGGTAGTTGGAACATGCTGATAGTCCAATGACTGTCTCCTAGCCTAGTGGAGCTGTGAAAAACTCCTCAAGAACTATTTCATTTACATTCTTGGAAAGTGTGGGGGTGGGGGTGGACAGGAACACAGTTCTGCTCCGCTCGTCCAGGGGAATGAGAGGAGTAGCAGCAAGCCTGGCAGGTCACAGACTTGCTTACGAAACCAAAGAGGAGGAAGGGGCCTCCAACCCCCTCACTTGCAGACAGGCTCCTCGGGGCTAGAGGAGGGCGTTCCCAGCATTATTCCGTAAGTTCCCCTGCTTCGAATCCTGTCCACGCAGATGAAATAGGTGATAAAGGTAAAGCTCCCAAAGGTGGCATTTCTTAGCCTTTCTGTATCACTTTCACCCACGTTGCTGCCAGGAAGTTCTTTCTCAGAGCTAATATGAGTCTCTCATGCTGTAGTTAAACTGTGTGTGTATGTGTATGTGTTAGGGGTGGAGTTGAGAGCAGCTGGCCGCCATTGCTCTTCTCCTTAACAACCCATTGGAGATTCCCTGAGTGTTAAACCACCTCTCTAACCTCCAGCTTCTGTCCTCTGCATTAAATAATCACAGAGCCTTTCCTCTCCTGCCCTCGGTCTTATTTTGCAAACCTGTGCATGTGTAAGTGTATCTCGGGCAAGGCAGGGAGGGAACCCGGAACCACTGCAGAGGTGCGGGTGCCAGCTCAACGAGGGGCTACCGCTCCCCGCACCTCCCATCTGGGGTTAGGAGACAACACGGACAATGGAGAAAGTGGCTCAAGGGGTCTTGGGAGAGTTAGAGGCAGCCTTGTTGGTGCTGTGGGGGTCTTTGCGACCATCTGATCTGCATTTCTTGTTGTAGAGTCTCCATTGCTTTCATCGCCTGCAGGGTTTTTCCCCCCTGCTTGCCTTCCAAGCAGATACTCACCCCCTTCTCCAGCTAGCACTCCTCGGGCTGCAGCTTTTCCGGGGGAAGGAGGGCTGCAGTGGGCCTGTTGTGGTACCCCTCTTCTCTGGTCAAAGAGAAGATACTCAAACAGGCTATGCTTAGGGCATTTTCAAAGAGTAAAATGTTGGGCAGAGTCTCGGGGTGCAGGTATGAGGAGTGAGGTCGGGCCGCAGTGCATCTCGGTTCTGCAGTGGTGGACCGGGCTCAACGAGCCAGGGATCCAGGCCTCCCAGAGAAGCCTAGAACCTCCCAAATCACATGCCCCCGCCGTGCCTCATGACTCAGCAGGCACTAGAAATGTGGGCACAGGACTACCCTTCCTGCAGCGTCTCACTAAACGTGCCACAAGTGGTCCCCCGGATACAATCTCTCATTTGTAGATAGGGAAACTGATGCTCAGAACAAAGGAGGGATTTGCCCAATTTACACAAAAGCATAAAGCTCCTGGCCCCCAATTCAAGGCTTCTTCATCTAAGCACACCAGTCCTGATCCCCTCCTAAGCCTCGGTTTCCTTAGCTGGCCCCTCCCATAGGTTATGGTTTGTATATGGGAGTCGATACATAGGAAAGCCAGGGATCTGCGTTGTTCACTTGGCGGATTTTTCCCTCTGCAGGCTTCCCTCGGCTGCCTCATCACATCTGTTTCTCTGAGGTTAACTGCCCTCTTGTTCTTCATCTGAGCTGGGGTGGGCGGTGGGGGGTAACGCCTGTCTCCTAGCGGCGATCTCGCCCTTGCTGTGT